ATCATAACAGAGAGGACATCGAGATGGTGGGGACTCCAATTTGTAAAAGGTAAACAAAATTCGGAATATGGGTATTTATTTCCAGCTTTTGAACTCTCGTTAAATGTTCAACGAGAGTTCAAACCTTAAATAATTTTCTAGAATTTCTCTATATTCTCCCTCTCCTTGCCTCTAATATGGTCGAATTTTTCCCTTTTAAAATATTTCCATTTTCTCGTTGTTATTATTGTAAGCCAAAAACAACAAGAAAAAAACAACGTGGCTTGCTATCATCCTCTTCTCATCAGTAAATTGTGTTTTTGTGTTCTTCTTCCAACATTCATGTTAATTTCACCAACAACAACGCAAACACAATTCACATTCATTTCTATTCCCCCACCACCACCATCGTCTCTGTCGTTGTATTCTCTTTTCGTAACACGAGGCCATCATCATCATACATACTAAAATAAATGCTCACGAACTCATTTACCCAACGAAAAGAAGGGAAAACAGCAACAACAGCAATAACAACGAGCTGCTCACACAATGAATGACTGTACCTCTTTTTTGTCGGGGCTGACTGACTGCCTGGTTTTGCTGAGTTGTGTTGTCTGCCTCGGCCATAAATGACGTTGGTTTGCTTACTCATGTGAGAGGGTGTGTGTGTATGTGTGAGTGCGTGTGTTCGTTCGTTGATATGTGAGTATCGTGTGTGTGCGAGAACATCTTACTCCCATTTGTTAATATCAAAGGAAAACAATAACAACACAAAAACGAACTAATAATAAAGGCAATCCCGCAAAGCAGAGTGTGAATACTTTGTATACAATGATGTCAATGTTATTGGTGGGAAAAAACGCTAAAATATTTAAAATCGCCAAAATAATAAAGGAACTTAAAAAATCACCAAAAAAATAAAAAAGCAAAAGAATTGAAAAATAAAATAATAATTAAAATCGCTAAAAATTAAAAACACAAAAAATAAAAATCGCTAAAAAATAAAAATTCGAAAAAGGAAAAATTGTGAATAATAAAGATCACAAAAAAAAATTTCCAAAATAATATGAAAAAAATAAAAATCGGCAGAATTTAAAATCGCCAAAACAATAAAAAAACGCAAAAAATAAAAATCGCCAAAATATATAAAAAAGCAAAAATATTAGAAAAATACAGTCAACGACCGGTATAACAAATGATATATTGTCAGGTCCATTCGTCATAGCGAAAAATTCGTTATATCGCGAAAACAAAAATGTTAATCCACTTTTTAATGGATTTCTAACAAAAATATATATTAATTAATTTAGTGTAAAAAGTCGACTATTTTGCTCATTCGTTATATACCGAATTCATTAAACTGGGCATTCGTTATACCGGGCGTCGAAAATCGCCAAAAATAAAAATCTCAAATTGATAGGGAAAAACGACAAAATAAAAACTAAAATTGGAAATAAACTAAAATCGTGAAAAATAAAAATCGCCAAAACAATAAAAAACGCAAAAAATAATATATTTTAAAATAAAATGTAGAAAACGCCAAAAATTAAAAAATCGCGCAAAAAAAGCAAAATCGTGGAAAAAATCACAAAAAAAAAATAAAAGCGCAAAAAATATTAAAAATCTCTTTTTTGAAAATATGTAATAACGATTTTGTGTCTACACCAAATGCTGTGTAATAATATTAAATGTATGTTTTCTTAAAGAGATCACCCCTTGAAGATGCAATTTTATAATTGCGAAATATTGGGAAATCTTTGAATAAATAAACTAATTTAAAAAAAGACCTCAAGCTCAAATAATCTCATTATATATATAAAAAATAAAAAAATTCATACAATAATTTCTAAAAAATACGCGCCTCGTCAGGTTGCACAAATTATTTGCCAAAAATCGGTGATTTCTTCCAGAGCATTAACTACTTTCGACATGAAATTTAAAATCGAAGAATTTTTGTAATTAAAAAAAGTTGATTTGTTTTTATAGATTTGATTTTTAAAATCTAAACAAAAAATCACTGCAATGAATGAAAACAAAATATGCTTAATTTTCTTTTTTTTTTCCAACAAAAATTATTTTTTCATTCAAAAAAAGGTTAAGTTATTTTTTCCAAAAAAAAAAAATAAATTAACTAGAGAACTAATAATCGCCAAGTTGACATCACTGATATTCATTAATGTGCGCTATTTGGAAAAAAAACGTACTTTTTTCTTTCCCCAAAACCCCCTAGAAAAAAATCACCACATTGTCATTACTGTTTCACTTTGCCTTCTTATGGGAAAATCAAGCTCGCACACAGCCAGACAGGCCAGTTCAACAACAAAACACCGTTCTCATACAAAAACACACAACCGCACACTCATTTCGTGTACTCATGCAAACCCCCCATATAAATAAGGCAAACTTATGCAAGAGACGCATGGTGGTGGAGGAAAACAAGCAAGCAAGGAATGCTCTTTATGTATTTTGTGTACTCTTGTTGTTATTTTACGTCTTCTTCTGCTTCTTCTCCAAGTCGTGTACACGTCTCTCAACCGTTTTGGCACTGTTGTTATGCTGCTTCTTCTTCTTTGCCTTCGTGTACACGTCTCTCGTATGTGGCCTGTGTGCTCTGCTCTGTTGTTGCTTTTGTTTTTCCCCTTCGTTGTGTTGTGCCGCTGTATGCTCTGCTATCGCTTCTCTGCCATTAACCAATAGGTCTGTCTGTGTGTGTGTGTGTTTGTGCTCGCCTCTGACGACTTTTCAGGGATTTTTTGAAAAACTCAATTTTTAGTAGAAATTGTTCATCGTTGGCGAGAAGTTGTGAGCGCAAAGTTTACGAAAATACCAAATCGAGCAGGCAATATTTTGCTCCCACAGAGTGATGAGATAAATATTCTGTGTTTTTTGGTGTCTCCTACTGTTGATGGTAATCATCATCATCCTCAGAAAGAAAAAATAGAAACACTGAAGCATTTCAATGAGTGCAGAAGAGTAGAGTGTGTGTGTATGTGTGTTGGAGATTTGTTGGTTCTGAAAAAGATAGTAGATTTTTGTGTGGTGCTCATGAGAATAATAATCGAAAAAAAGAAACAAATTTTTGAACCTAATTTCTTTGCTTTTGGAGAAGTGCATAATAAAATCTGATTACCAGTAGCCGAAGAAGCAGCAGAGAAAAAAAGCGGGAAAAAGTCTCCCCAAAAAGAATTTAATTTAAAGAATGGAGGATTCCAGTTGGAAGAACTATAGAAATAAAAGAAATTAAATGCCAAGCTTTGAATACCCCACTGTGTGTGTGTTTCCAAGAAATATATAAAAAAATGTCCCCCCTTCAAGTTTTAACATCTATATAATATTTTTTGGTTTGTTAATTTTATTCATTATCTAAAAAAACGACAGCAAGCGCGCCTTTACTACCAGTCGTCGTCTTTTTTGTTGTTGTTGATTTTTTATTCCACTGTGCGCGCAATACTGCTTCTAGAAACAACAATCCAAACAGCCAACCAGCAAAAAAAACTTGAACAGTTTTGTTGTTGTTTGCTTTAATGTATTGTTTTTTTTTCTGTTAGCCACAAGTGTAAATATACGGCTCCCCAACCTCCCCACACTTACTCCCCACCAACCAACAACAAAACACCATTAACACAACAGAGCCACACACACATGTAGCATACACAGACAAGCAGTGGCGGCATCAATACTCTCCCTGAAGGAAATGTGGGGTGTTGTATCGCCTTTGTCTACTATTGTGGCGACATGTCTCCATATTTTCTACAACTTGTCTACATATCATGTAATAAGAAGAAGCATTTGTTATGTTAACAACCAACTGAGCATGGTTATGCTTCTTCTTTTTTTCTTTAATATATTTATAATTAAAGAAAAAAAAGTTGGCGGCAATAGACAGATATTTTGTTAAAAACGCGAGTTTAAAGTTATTAATGGTAATAATTAAATTAATTAATTAATTGGTGAAAAAATTTTTGAGCAAAAGAAATTATAAAAAATTTACAAGTGACATATGTGACCTTTAGTCTATATATACAAACTATTGACTTACTACTGACCGTGTCCACATATGCGACGCTGTGTCTATATCTAAAAACTACTGACTTACTACTGACCAAGTCACTAGTTCATTTCCAATGACAAGCACATGTTAAATGTCAATAGTAAAATGCATTGTGTTGGGTATAGTCGGTCAACAGTATTGGTGACAATGCCAATAGTAAGTCAATACTGATTTACTGTAGACATTTCCTACAGGGCTGTAAACAAGGCTATGCTCGCACACTCTCTGTTTGTCTCTCTCTCGCTCTTTCATTGTTATTATTATCATGATCATGTGTGCGAGAGTGTGTGTGTGTGTATAGCAGGCAAACGGCAAATGCATGCATGATTTCTTGTGGCTCCCACATCATTAGGCGGCACTGAGCGTGTGAGAGCGAGAGAGAAAGCAAGAGCACGACAATACAGTTGGCTAAATTTCCCCTCTTGTTTTGTGTGTTGTGCTGCTGCTGCGGCGGCGGCCACTGTCACTGTGCTGCTTCTTCTTCTTATCATGAAAAATATTAATGATTATTTACAGTTTCAGTAGCAGAGAAAATCACGGACATTCATGTTCAGGTCTCGTTGTGAGGCAACGACGGATTTGCAGTGTTTGAAGAAAAGAAAGAAATAAATTGTAATAAAATAAATATTTAAAAAAATGGTTTATTAAATAAAACAAAAAAATAAGATATAGAAGAAAAAAGAAAAGAAAAAACAAGTGAAAAAGACCAAAAGAAACAACAACAAATAAACAAAACTTCAAAGTGTAGGGGGAAACGCGACGACGAACCCCAAGTGAAATGTTTAATTTATTAAAGAAAAAACAAAAACAACAATAGAAACTAGAAGAACAGAAGGATTTTAACAATAACAAAAGGAAATTGAAAACAATTTATTGTTTAAAAGGGATAAGGATACGCGCGCCATCCACAGCGCCCACCACCACCCCGTGCGCCAACCCACCCAACCAACCAAACCAGCATCATTAGAATTTTTGTGTATTTGGGTAATATAAATTCACCGCCACCATTACCCACTATTACCACCCAATTCAGCAACAGCAACAGCCCTTGGAGGACGTTTGTGCTGTTGGTGAATCGGTGGACTCCATGATGGCATTGCCAATGAATTCATTATATTCCCTAACATGGGGTGACTATGGCACCTCATTGGTATCGGCCATACAGCTGTTGCGTTGCCACGGCGATTTGGTCGATTGCACCCTGGCAGCAGGTGGACGCAGTTTTCCAGCGCATAAAATAGTGCTATGTGCCGCATCGCCATTTCTATTGGATTTGTTGAAGGTAAGTTTTGAAAATGAAATTAGAATTAAATATCTTTTTTATATACATATGTACATGTACACATTTGTTGTCGTTTTAGAAATTGAAAAAACCACCTTTTCCAATTAACATAATCCGAATATTATATAGCAAGAAGTGTAAAAGGGATATCCATATATATATATATATATATATATACTTTTCGGGTTAAGTCGAGTTTAAGTGGCCCCAATCGTTTATCGTTTTCCAGAAATTTACCTTAAGTATAACTAGGGCGGATCGAACCCCCCTCTACTCTTCAACGATGAGTTAGATATTCAAAAATACCTAAAAATGAATCGGGACTTCCGGGAGAAAACTCAGTGTGGTCTCTAGGACCTGCAACATACCTAAAATGATGCTTAACGATTGAAGAAGTTGCTTGAAATCCTCAAAATATCGACTATGGATCAGTGCCGATATATGAGAGCTTACCGAAATAATGGACCTATCTTGTTAATTTTTGGTAGGAAAGTTTTTGAGAGTCTATGAGAACTTGAAAATCCTTTTAGCTGTCAATTCGGTTGAATAATGTGTTCAAGCTCCTCGAAATATCGATATTTTGTTCATACCTCTATATGGGAGCTATATCAAAACGTGGACCGATCTTGATAATTTTTGGTGGGGAGATTTTGTACACAATGAGAATTCAAACTAGCAAATTTCAGTCAATTCGGATGAAATACCGACATTTTGAGATGCTATTAGGTGGGAGCTATACCAAAACGTGATTATTTTTGGTAGGCAGATTTGTTACTCAATGAAAATTCAAAATAGCAAATTATAAACAATTCGGATGAAAAACATACCCAAGCTCCTTAAAATATTGAAATCTTGGGATACTGTTGTGTGGGAGCTATACCAAAAAGTGGATCGATATTGATAATTTTTGGTAGTCAGATTTGGTACTCGGGGAGAACTTATTATACCAATTTTCAGCCAATTCGCGCCCAACATTCTCAATATACGGCAAATTTCGAGTAAACTTTATGTGGGGGTTACCCTTAAAAGTGGACCGATATTACCAAACTACAGCCAAATCTATTAAAAAAATTTTCAAAATATCGAAAATTGGGTTTAGCGTTATATGGGGGCTTTACCTACATGCGGATCGGTATTGATAATTTTTGGTAGGGAGGTTTGTTATCTAATTATGATTATTTGGCTAGGGATATTAATAATTTTGGCTAGGGATATTATCTACTCCGTGAAAAGCCAAAATACCAAATTACAATCAATTCGATTAGTAAATGTCCTCAAAATCGCCTATGTTCTGCAAATTTTGGGGCACCTTTGTAGGGAGATTTGCGCATCGATATTTATAATTTTTGTTAGGGAGATTATCTACTCCATGAGAACCCAAAATAGCAAATTACCCTGCATATTTTTCTAAATAAAAAAACCTTCTTAGGTCCGAATTGAAACAAAAAATCCAATTAGAAATTCCGCAATAACAACAACAACAAAAAGGCGCGCTTTTTCTTGATTTGTTTGTAAACAGAGAGCTAAGAATTTTTGTTTCCCTATAGAAGAGGTTTGGGAGATATTTTTTTACTAGGCGGCAGAGCAGAGGTGACCGACCGACCAAGAAGAGGAAGAGCAAAAGAGGTTATCTCACAATCTCCCACTAAACTAAAAATTCATTTGGCCCATAGTTTGTTGGAATTTCTGATGGTTTCTTGTTGTTGTTACGCTCTGAGTAGGAAAAATTGACAATGACATCCGAGAAGAAGCAGCAGCAGCAACAAACAAAACCCCTAAACAGAGAACACAAGTTTTCCGAATACTACCGGCGAAGGCAAAAAAAAAATGTCACATTTATTTTAAAAAAAATATTTTAACTATTTTTCTCATTAATAATTGATTATCCATTGGAGAATTGTTGTTGTTGCTGTCCATTTTTTTTTTTTTTTTTGGAGCCAAAACAATGTCAAGCTCTTCTTCTTCTCCCACACATCGAACCAGCAAAGTTGTAAAGATTTTTTTCAATTGAGATTTTTACCGAGAGTGGGAAAGATGAGAGGAAAGGCGAGAGGGGAGGGGGTTCTCACTTCATAGAGAAATTATCTTTTTAGTAGAGTAGTAGTATCCCAGAGTATTTGTGGCGTTGTTACCTCTTAGTGCCGAACAACGGCCTCTGCCATTACCGCCCGGCGCTCTATAGGCCTAGCCACAGAGCCCGCCGTTTCTACTGATGAAAATACATTGTGTGTCGTCTCACGCAAAACACAACAATACCTGTTTGGTTTTGTTCGGAAACAGCAACAACAACAACCAACCGAAGGTATTAAACTCTGCTCTGGTTAATTTTTCTTCCTCTTCTTCGCCTCTACCAAAGAAGATTTTTAGAGATTTCTTGCAAAGATTTCCAATTGTCAATTGAGGCAAATGAGGAAATGTCTCCCCATGAAAACAACAACAACAACAACTTACATGGGCACACACTTTGTGCTACTCTTGAGCGGCAGTCAGTCAGTCAGAGGCAGCATACTTCTCACATACTACATACATGTGGAGGAAGAGGCCGTTCGTTCTGTTATATTTTTTTGGACTCTGAGCTCTGAGCTAGATATGCTGGCTGGCTGGTGAGGGGTAGCCTCGTTCAGCGCGGTACTCTTCTGTTTGAAAAATTAAATGAATGCAAAAAATACTGACCTCAGTTAACCAAGCCAGCCAGCATGGTAGTAGAATTTATTGTTCTCGTCTCCCTTGTCGTTTGACCAGGCAGCAGGGAGACAGACACAATGAGTGTAACAATAATAATGCCAGTGAGAACCTCGAGAACCATGCTGCATATGATGAGCATCCATTCATCCATCCATCTAACGATTCTGAAACTTATTTTCGGAGACTAGCAAACATACTCCTCAGCTCTAAAAAAAATCGGCAAAAACAATATTGAGTAGTAGTGGATTACGGACTTCCGAGCGGCCACCACCACTGAATGTAATAACAATAAAAAACATTAACTTCGACCGGTTCGAATGAGATGGATATTTAAAATACCTCTAAAACCGATGCGGATTTCCAGGAGCAGCAAATTCATTCATTATGTGCTCTAAAACCTTGAACATAAAGAAAAAGTTACTTGAAATCTACATAGGCCATGAGGAGCTGAAAAGTCAAATAGAGAACCACATCGCACCCAACATTCTCAAAAAATCCACAAATTTGGTGGTCCTGTTGTGTGGGGGGACTACCCCTAAAAGTGCAACGATATTGATCATTTTTGGTGGGAAGATTTGTTAACCAACGAGAACCCAAAATACCAAATTACAGTCAATTCGGTTGAAAAACAATGGCCAAGCCCCCTAAAATATCTAAAATTTGGAGATAACGTTATGTGGAAGGTATACCAAAATGTGGACCGATATTGATAATTTTTGGTAGGAAGATTTGGTACTCAATGACAACCCAAAATACCAAATTACAGCCAATTCAGATGAAAAAGGGGTCCATGCTCCTCGGAATATCGAAAATTATGGGGTATTGTTATATGGGAGCTATACTAAAACGTGCACCGATATTGATAATTTTTGGTGGGGAGATTTGACTGCCAATGAGACCTAAAAATACCAAATTACAGTCAAATCGGATGAAAAAGGTTTCCAAGCTCCTCGAAATATCGCAAATTTTGGGGTATCGTTATATGGGAGCTATATCAAAACCAGCACCGATATTGATAAGTTTTGGTATGGAGATTATGTACACAATGAGAATCCAAACTAACAAATTACAGCCAATTCCTCTAATAAATGTCCTTAAAATAACCAATGTATCGCAAATTTTGGGGTTACCTTTATATGGGAACTATACCTAAATGCCAATCGATATTGACAATTTTTGGTAGGGAGGTTTTCTACTCCATGAGAACCTAATACAACAAATTACAGCCAATTTGCTTAAGAAATGTCCTCAAAATAACCAATGTATCGCAAATTTTGGGGGTACCATTATAGGGGACCTATACCTAAATGCCAATCGATATTGATAATTTTTGGTAGGGAGGTTGTCTACTACATGAGAACCCAAAATACAAAACTACAGCCAATTCGATTAAGATTAAGATCGATATTGATGATTTTTGGTAGGCGCATTTACTACTCAATGAGATCTCAAAATAGCAAATTACAGCCATTTCCGCCCCAAGATTTTAAAAATATCGAAAATTTTTGGGGAATCGGAGCTATAGCAAAATGTTAACCAGCGTTGCTAATTTTATAACAAATGAGAACCCAAAATATAAAATTTCCACTAACTCCGAAACATATTTTCGGAAAACAATCTCCCTTCTCCGCTGTGTGGTAGCAGAGTAGAGTTCCTTAAATTGGGAGAACAATGTTTGAGTAGTTGACATGTAAAATCCGACCATAGCACTATCTTTTATATATATATTTTTTTCATTTTAGAAATTAAAATTTTCAATTCCTATATTTTTTTTCATTTTAGAAATTAAAATTCCAATTCCTAAAATTGTGTTTTTCTTCTTCTTCGTTCAACATTCCATTTTTAAATTTTTAATTTTTTTCTCTATACTAGAATTTATATTTTTTTTATAAAAAAAATTGTGTTGTTATTGTTGCAGTAGCACCACCAGCATTTATTTGTGTATAATAATATTTTTTTATTTGTATTTTGTACCCTGAACGACCAGCTTTTCTACTGCATGCCATGTCATGTCATGCCTCCCTTCACCACTCACAGTACAGTAGAGTACAGTAATCTTCTCTGAGAGTGTGAGCGAGAAAGACAGAGAGAGTGTTGTGTACATGATCTCATGACCAACAAGAAAAGAAAAAAACAACTACAGTGTATGCCAGAGCGAGAGAGAAAGAGGAGATGGCTACCTCTACCTACCTCTCTGCTCTTTTTCAACCTAATTTCAGTGAATCAGACACACACACTCAGTTACATATAGATATGCATTTACGCCATACAAACTCTGCTCTGCTTAGGTCAAAACAGAATATATTTTTATTGCT